GTGTGTGTGTGTGTGTGTGTGTGTATGTATGTATAAAGGTGTTTTAAATCCTTCCCACACTCTTGCAATATTCTAAACAATGTTTCTAAACTCTGAACGCTCTAAAAGAGCACAGCATGTCATGATCTCAGCTCTCTGCCTCCAGCTGCGCTCTTGACCACGCCCACTTTTTCGCTCTGCACGGATATTAGCTGATCAGCTGCTGGAGGAAGCTTCTCCCACAGCTGTGGGCTGCACACAAGTGCTAAATCATTTACAATAACATTTTAAATAAAAATCCCATGCTGATAGTGCAACTCATCCATCAATCAGCCAATTGTGTGTCATGTCCAATCTTACTTTGGAAAACAAAAACTTTAATGTGTTTAATGTCCGGGCCGGTCTCGGGCTTTGATGCAGTTTTAGGAATCATACAGCACAAATAAAACTCAATAATAAATGCACAATATAAAATTGTGTAAATCTACTTAGAGGAGGAGGCAGTAAGTTTACTGAGGAGGAGTGCAATAAAATAGAGGACAGAAGTTAATCAGAAATGAGAGTAGTGCTGGCGGCACATTGCGCAGCAATTACGCATGGTCCCGCCCACCATGCTCTTCTCCACAGCAGGTGTATGTGTGCCACAGACATGCAGAAGTACTGGAGCGCAAAATCATCATCATCCACGACTGAGCTGTACTTTTCCTGTGGGCTAATTTTAACAAACTTGAAATGATGACACCTGCTGTGTGTCAGGTGCACACTCAGGTCCGGACCCCGCTCTCAGCTGGTTGCACAATAGAGCAGCAAACTGCTCTCAGCTGCGGTGGAAGAATTTGCAGCCCTAAGAAGCGACAACATCAAAAGCTGAAGCGAGCAGCGCGTTCACATCACCACCATCCAGACAGAGAAGAACAAGTAATTTTTCCGAGTGGGAGAACGCAGCAGATGAGCCAGAGTAATGATCAGGTTACACTGTACATCACTCATGCTATGGCCGATGAGCGAGATTTGCTGGGATTTTGGAAACTAAATTCAAATGTGTACTCAAAACTGGCCAAGTTGGTGAGATCTGTGCTCTGCATCCCAGCGAGCATCCATCCAGTCATCCATCCAATATCTTTACCCATTGTCTGTTGTTTGTTATAGATATTTTGTTTATTAAAGTATTAGTGTAATCGTTGTTGTATGCCTTTTCAACTTATTTTTCATGCACACAGCAGTTTTATTCTGTGGTGTAGTGTGGGTGAACGTTTAATCGCTCCGTCCTCAGCGACAGCATGACTCAGCATAATTTTGCATGACTTTCTTTTAAATCTAAATTAAAATAGTCTTGTTCTATGTTTTTCCACATAATTTTGCTCGAAAAATATTTTTGTTCATCTGTATAATAACCTATCTTTAGAGTTGATTGTTTTAGGCTATTGGTGTTAATATCCATTTGGTGACTTGTTAATAAAAATAATTCCAAATCTTCCCTTCTTTACGGTTTTAAAACTATCATGTCAATCTGGTTTGCTTACAAAAGCAGTAAAAGCTTAATTAAAAACAAAAGTCTGTTTTATTTCGGGTTCGGCCCTCTAATTACCGGTAATCCGTTCGGTCCACGTAGGGCTCGGGAAAAAAAAACTATGGGCTTGGTCCAATCTGGATTTATTAGGCCCAAATGCAACTCTACCGTTTACTGAGAATCTGTTCTCTGTTTTTTTCTTTAAACAGGAGAAAGAACTCGTTGCTTTTTTTTCTTCCGTTCAACCTTTATTTAGACA